GATTGATAATGTCTTTTGAATAAAGACGAAACGTCTCTAACGGAAAATAGCTATTTTCATTATGATAAAGGTGGTTTATATCTTATTGTCTATTTTAAAATTTTTCACCTTAAATGATGATTCAATTTTATCCCAAATGAGACTTTCAAATATAATGCGTATTCTTTTCTCGATTGCTTACAAACGGAAAAACATCAAGATAGATGATGAATAAATGAACATTCTACACGAATAGTACTTAAACAAACATGCGGTTGCATTTACGCATATAACCAAACATGATTCATGGCTTATTACTTTAAATAGACAGGCTTCCTACAATATTTCTTCCAGCAAGTATTAAAATTGTTTGTTACCTAAATGATCCCTGGCACTTGGTCATTCGGCCTCAGCTCTTTTTCGTATTTTCTTTTTAAATTTCTAAGCCATTGAATACAGTTACAAATGCTTTTTTTTTCTTCGGTATTTTCGTCCTACTCATACAGAATAGCAGTTACATAAGTTAAATTATATATTAAGACGCACATTTCAATTTAATATATTTATTTATTTACACTCCTGTTTATTTTATTTATCCTCCGTATTTTAACATGAGACGCAAAGTCATATTTATCACTAATCTTGAACATTGCTTCTGCTAATTGTCTGCTTAATAGGCAAAAATAAACTGAAATAAATTTCGGAACATCAATAATATTTCTTACAAAGTGGCTTCTTTAAATTAGCAAAAAACATTATATTCGAGATTTTGGTTTTTTATAAATCTTCAGAAAATCACTCTGGCAGCACTAAGAAATTAGAGTTTCTGCAGTGCCAGGGATATTGCAAGAGCTTATTATAATATTTTTCGAAAGTTTTTTGAACCAAGCTCATAATCATTGGCAGAATTATGAATACTAGACCGTGAACTTTGACTGCGAAAACATGCAGATATTCCTTTCCACTTCCACACTATTCTATCGATCAAGCAATCCTATTAGATCATACAGATCTGACTGATAATACGATTTCATCACATTCTTTTCTTTTTCTAGACGAGAACACAATTACCGACGTGTTTTGCAGTAATTCTTTCTAATATAAATACAACTTTACTATGGAAAATGAAAAATTTTTTTAGGCTCAACTTTTGGAATCGAACACTGTGAGCCACCGAACTCGCTACTGTCAGACGACATATGAGTCCGTACTCACAAGTCCTGGGCTTATTCTTGTTCAGAACCACCTAGATGCGATAGAATTCTCTCTCTGCCAAATATATCATTTCCATGTCCAGCTCATGGCGTTTCTCTCATTACAGGCCAAAAACCAACCAAGAAACTCAAAAGTTTTCCGAAAATCTGGAGTCCCTCAGTGATTCTCAGATACCGGATACCACGCTTACCCAATATTTAAGCCTAAACCCAATTTAGAAACACACAGAAATCTGAAGCTTTTCTAGAAGCCCTGTGTAGACCTTCTAGAAACCTAGAATTAGTTCCAGCATATTCACAATCCTGAAGTACGTCCAGTCGTATTTAGTGAATGTCCCAAAGATCGTTTTCCTGATGCTGTGTTTTGGTGCCATCTTTCGAGCTTCTAGCTCGTTCGGTTAATACATCATCCAATCATTATTTAAGGTATTGAGCAGGTCACTATTTACGACAACCAGTGTTTCTAACATTACGCGTACGCCTTTGTTTCAAAGCGTACGGTACGCGAACTAAATTGACAATACGCTTTGTATCAAGCAATAGGAAAAGACAGAACGATACAATCTACGAATTACCACGCTTATATACGCGCTGCTTAAAATTCTCATTAGAAACCCTGACGGCAACTTATTTACTGCTAAACTTAGTTTACCTGTTTTATGTAACATGTCAGTATTCATTACAGTTTTACCCATCTTACGTCTATTGTACTTATCGGCTTAAAATGAATCACTTTTGGAACCTAAACTTCTCTAACTAAAGCAACGTTTTAAAGTGCCGATTTATAATCAAAAGATTCAGAATTTAATTATTTTTCAAACTGCGCACCATTTAAAGTATTAGAGTGCCTCAGTCCTCAAAACTGTCCTTATCTATTCTAGGATCATATTATATACTTATTGTAAGATATTTTATATTAAAATCAATCAAATTTTTGTGATTTTTGATATAAAAAAATGGCACAATAAATTTTATTCTGTGAAAGCGTCTTTCTTAATAAAATGTAATTACAGTAAATATTTTTTATTTCGACACAGTGACTATTGTAGATAAATATTGTGAATCATGTAATCGTCATTTTTAATATTATTAATTTTTTCTGACAGAAAATTTGATAGATCAAGAGACGTTCAAAGTAAGTCTGAATATTTCTTGTTTTATCCATCGTTTTTCCGTTTCTGTCACATGCATAAATACATAAACCACTTTACTTTTCTTCTTTTCTTTTCTTCTCATTAGAGTCATAACTGACAAATGTACTCAGTGAATTGTGCAATAACCTTTTCAAAGACAGAACAATCACATGTCATATCTTTGCAAACATTACATTGCAACAGATCAATTCAGAAATAAACAAAATGAAATAAGTTGAGAAAAAAATATCTATATAAATTAGATGATGAAAAATACTCTTAACTGAATAATATACTGAACAGGTAAATAGCCATTTTTTTCTTATAAAAGAAATATTGCTAATGTTAAAATATTTCTCTAACCGCAGTTCTGTTTATGTATTCAGTGTTCTCTAGTTTGTGAAGCTTTCTAATACCAGATTTGATCCTAGTTGCTTTACGTCAATTTTCTTTTTTGTATACTGAGAATGAGTAGTACCAGAAAAATATCTAAAAGAGAACGGTTCACATTTTTTAGAGAACAGAACTTTTTTATAGCTGACAAGAGAACGGCTGTTGAATTTGTTGACGAAATTAAAAATAAAGCATGTCGTATACAACATTATACTTATAAGCATGGAGATGACAATAGCTCTTGTTGACACGTCCTGTAGGTGTCAGTAGCTTTTCCTGATACCTCTTCGATGGCAAGCCTTGGTTCGGTCGTTAAATCCTAAAGGTGTCCATAGCCCTTGATGCCATCTCCACTAGGTGTCAATAGTAGTCATTGTTACCACCACTCGGTGGTATCAATAGCCGTTGCTGATACTTCCTAGTGTCTGCAGACCCATCCTTGTTGTCTTTTAAGTTTAAAATACAAGCGTATATGCGCTCTAATTGAAATAAACCGAGATCATGTAACTTTTGAAGTAACGAATTTAAAATTGATCTATATTCACGCGTGTACAAATTATGCAATTCTCTGTACATAAACATGTTTCTCTGCCTTGATATAGACGTGGACTTTCATCTTTATTTAGTTAATTAACGACAAAAATAAATAATGATTGCCTATCCAGAAACGGAACAATTTCGTAATGTTATATCAAAAGTAGTACGGAAAGTACGTGGAAAAGAAGAAGAAAAGCGAAATAACCCATTACCATTACTAAAATTTATTGGAACAGTAAAATTACATGGTACAAATTCAGCTATAGGATTTAATAAAGAACTTGGCCATTGGTTTCAATCTCGTAATAATGTTATTACATCAATTAAAGATAATGCTGGTTTTGCCAAATATTTTGAACCATTTTCAAATGAATTTATACAAGAAAAACTTTTGAATACAAATACAATAATTCGTGAAGAATATGAAAAAGGAAATAGTATTATTGTTTTCGGTGAATGGTGTGGTGGAAATATTCAATCCAATGTTGCCATTACTGGTCTACCAAAAATGTTTGTTATATTTAAAATTAAAATTGTTTATCCACAATTATCACCATCTCAAGAGTTAGATGAAGATCAAAAACAAGAAAAAGACAAAGAAGAAGAAGAAGAAGAAGAATCAGAAACAAATTCATTATCGTATTGGTTACAGCCACAAGAATGGTCAAAAATTAATTGGCATGAAAAATTAATTTATAATATTTATGATTTTCCCGTATATGAAATTGATATTGATTTTAATGAGCCAAAAATGATACAAAATAAATTAATTGAATTAACCGATGCTGTTGAAAAACAATGTCCAGTGGGATTATTTTTTAATCGTCCAGGTTTAGGTGAAGGTATTGTATGGACAGAATGGGCCACAACACATGGAACTTTAACTTTCAAAGTTAAAGGACAAGAACATGCCGTAACAAAAGTAAAAACATTGGCAGCGGTTGACACTGAAAAATTAAATTCAGTACAAGAATTTATTGATTATGCATGTACGGATAATCGCATGAAACAAGGTTTAGATTATTTACGTGAACAACAGATAGATTCTAAAGAAATGAAAAATGTTCCGGTATTTTTAAAATGGTTAACAAATGATATTATAAAAGAAGAAAAAGATACCATGGATAAAGCACAACTAGATCCCAAAGATGTAACGAAAGCGATAACGACAAAAGGACGAACATGGTACATGAATAATATCTAACTAATTCACCAAGCAGATCATCTCATCACATATTTATTTTATATTATCGTATAGTTTTTTTTACATAATAAAACAAAATTATCTTTTATGTATGCTTTTAACTAATATTTGTTTGAAAACTCTTTTTAGAAAAAAATGTTTCTTAATATCGATTTGAGTAAACTTTCGATTCTGCTGCAAGACTTATTATAAATGGGAAACTGCCTGATAATCGATGTGTGAGACGAAAAGAGTTTTCTTTTTTTAGGTAAAATGAGATGATAGTGATTGATGGTTCAAAGATTAAACGAATTGTTCTGTTACAAATTAAAGACCAACTGAGTAAATTTTGCTTTACAACCACCTTTTCGTTACAGAAAAGCTCAAGCCTTGGAACCTTGTAAAGATGTTTCTTATCAGGCTCGTTTCTGAGGGCTGTCGGTAAGGGTGAGGCTAATCTTATCTTAGATTCTCCACTTCGGTGCTGCCGGTGCTAGTCCACATGGAGCTTGCACCTATGAATATATGCGACGATACCTTTTGTGATTGCAAGATTAGACGCGTAGATGCGCGTACAAAATGTCACATGTGAGGGTAAATGAATAATCACCATTCGTACCTACTTATTCGATGTTGCAACTACATGATCTTGCAGCAGTGAAACTTGTTCTCTCTACTTACAAGATTGTGTGGAATAACAAGCGAAAGTTTCACAGTCCCTCGCATACGAAATGGAGACAAAATTTCCTCATAGGTATTGTTAGGGAGCATTTCAAAATTCTTGCCGCTTCCTCTGTCGCACTGCTGCGGCATAACGGATTTATTTTAATAACATTTCGATATATTATCGGTTTCTTTTGATGTATGTATACGTATACGGTGAATTCCCGTATCGTCGAAAGCTTAATTAATTTTCTTGTTTCGTCGAAAAAATTTGTAGAGTTTTTTTTCTAGTGTTCCTGTTTCGTCGAAAATAAAGCTTTAGCTGTTCCTCAAAATTTTTTGATACCAATTAATCGCATCACTTTTTCAAGATATTCTTCCAGTGTTAAGGTTTGCTGTTTATAACGATTTTCTAAATCGTGTAATCGTGCATTTCAATTCACAAATAGTTTTTTTCTTGGTGGTATTGCGCCTTTGGCTGTATGATGTGATGATATTGCTGAATTATAAGCATAATCGTTTTGAATTGCACGAATAAACATATAAAAATGTGGATGTATGATATGATTTAAATCAGTATTTAATCGATTGATCGATTTGTATATACCCTATAAAAAAAAAAGGATGCGGCATCCTAAAAAAGCAACTGGCAGGGGCCTGCGCAGGACCTGCCGCACCCTTGCCAGCTTTTTTCGATTTGGCAGCGCTGCGCAGGGGTGCCATAAGAAAAGAAATTTTGAATGCTGCGAAAGGCCTGCCGCATCATACTAAAATCCATTGCTCTAGGATGCCATAAGAATGCCGCATCAAGGTGGAATCCAGAATTTTCGGGATACTAGGAGAATGCTGCATTTATTGGAATCAGTTATACTAGGATGCCGCATCTCATGAGAGTCCATTGAGATGAGATGCACTATGAATGCAGCATTAGAGTGAAATCCATTGTGCTGGGATGAGCTATAGATATTGTGTTAAAGTGGGATCCGTTGTTCTATAATTGTAGTGAGATGCGAGGTATTATAGTAGAATCCATTATCCTGGATGTTCCAACAATCCTGCATCGTGGTAGCATCCATTCTTGCAGAACGTCAGTAGAACCGTAGCAGTATGTAATCCTACTATGATCACTAATGAATTGTGGAGTATTCAAAACCTGCAAGGAATATTAATAAAAGTAAAATATCAAGAGCAGATATAAAACGTGCAAGACGAGCAGAGCTATATGTATATTAAAACACGCAGCTTTTTAATGTTCTGATCCTTTGTTTTTATTTATTCATCAAAACGTTGATGGTATATGACAAAAGCAAGCAAGAAAATATTTTTTTTTGTAATAAAATACAGCCATATGAAGAAGATTATAGAAAATAACAATAGTACTTGTAAAAAAACCTAAATATACAAGTATTTTATCGGGTACCGAAAATTTTTATTTTAGATAGTTTAATACACAACTTAGCACAATATGTGCACCGTATGACATATAACGAGTGATGCAAACGTTTTTTTCTTTTTGTTTTCACTATTGCTTCTCCCAAAACATCCGGAAGGGTTAATTGCTTTTCCGTTGGAAAGACCGAAATCTGAACTTCAGAAAAACATATGAATTGAGTGATTGAATTTGAATGAGAAAAAATTTAAATACCAAACGTCGCCAAAAAGCTCTTGTACAGAGCTGTTTTTCTTTATTTCCTTACTGTAGTCTGAAGAAAAAAGTTATTTTAAAATCAAATCGATCAGAATCTAGCCCCTAGAAAACTCTATCGATCGCTCTACTTTTGAAAATTTCTCAGTGATGTCTTAATAGAAAAAAAGGCGTATTATGAAACCTAGTCTTGATAAAAAGCATCATTTTGCATGAGGAAGATAGTGCATCGAGAAAATTTATTTATTTATGACTCAAAATATGTTAGTGATGGTTAAAATTAATACGAGTTTGTAGAAAATTGAACACTGATTCAGAAAGTTTGCTTTAGGAATATAAAAACTATTAATTAGAACTAATCATCGAAAACCTATGAAAACATGTTTTTCGTCGCTCTTCAAATTTTTCCTGTTGTTTAAAAGCACATGTCCGCCTGCTCTAGCCAAAAATGCCCACTGTGTACCTAGAATGAAATTTTAATTAAAAAAGAAGTGTCCTTTCATGTGCTATGGTACTGCGTAAAATAGAATATTTTAAGGAACTTATTACCAGAGTGTTTAAACATGCACTGCTTTTTTATATCTCATTTAAAATTAAAATGACAACAACATAGCTAGTCTGTATCTTCTTCTATCATCCACGCATCCGTCTAATCGATCATATACAGTTTGGATCGACTATATTTCTATATATAACGGACAGAAAATAAATTCTCACGGAGACGTATAATAGCAGAACACAAAAAAGAAATTCTCTCTAGAAGGTAAAAAAAATTAACCCGCCAATAAAAATCCTGTCAAGCGCCTCAACCACGATATAGTTAAGATTTCATCTGTTAATTTGAGCGACGAACGATAATCTCATATCTTCTCCTAGTTGTCTACACGTAAAAATTTAAACAAAAATTAATTAGCTTTTCCCTTTCTTGTCTTTTCGATCTTATTTGACCCCTGAAATTGAAATTTTGATTTCGTTCTTTGTCCGAAAGTCCGGGACAAAAAATTCGTGAGCTGAAATTCATGTAACCCGAAACTCCAAGCCTTGCAGATGGTTCAGCTCTGAAGAAATATTAATCATAAGCTTATATGAGGGGTGTATGATCAATTTTGTCACACACTGTATAACATATCGGATTTAAAAACAATCTATTGTCCACACATAATAAAGAATAGCTAGAGGATGGAGCAGTTTGCCAGATGCAGTTGGTCTTTGCCATTAATCTTGAACAGTATATTTTGTTTTAATCACATTGTTTCTGCACGAGTAAGAAACAATGGAGTATTGTTTAGTGTTGGTGCTACCCAGGTAGAAAAATATGAGTCATTAATGGCCAATTGGTGAGGAATTTAAAGTTATCTGTCATCTTACGGCCTGTTTAAAGAGCACTGAAAGCGTAAAAAAGACGAAAAAAAGATCTCTTTAACTAGCCGTTTTTCACTCGATGAAAAAACGACCTGAAAACGGCTCATAAGCGGTTTATCATAACGGTCATTTTTATGGGTTTTTTATGATCATTTTTTTATGAGATACTGACTAATAAGGACTTTAGCAGGAAGTGTCAAGAAATTTATCTTAAAATAAATAGTTTAAATCAACACTTTGAACCAACCACTTACAAGTGTCGTTTACTATTAAGCTTCTTCTGAATTGAAGTAAAGATATTTATAAAATTTTATAATTAGTAAACGTTTGAATAGCATTGACACTAATGATCTAACGGCCAAATAATATCACTGCTACGAATTCCGTCGATTTTCGAAATGCACTTCGACTACATTAGCGATTAGTCGCAGTGTAGCCAAAGTGCATTTTGAACCTATCAATCCCAGGTTATATTTTGAATGAGTGATTATTAAATGCGATCCTTTTGCAATACATTTAAGGTGGGGAAAAACGCGTGCAAAAAATCGACGGGAAAACACGAAAGGAAGCACTTTTTTCCTTATGGCCGTTAGACTATAATAATACTGTTACTATTCATTGATAATTGCGTTCGGTCATTGATTATTGTCTCATTCCGCTATTAGTTAAGAGCCTATGTGTGAGGTATGAAATGTCAGTTTTTGCTATCTAGGTTTCCCTGTTGAATCAGAAGATGTTTTAGAAAAATTAATTAACTTTTTCTGATAAAGAATGGAACCTTGATTGACGCCATATTCGATCGCCTTTTCATGGGTAACAAAAGTTTAAAGCCCTTTTATGAAATTCCTTTTCGTTACTGGAAAAATTCATTTTTTCTAAATCAGAGGCGAAAAAGTCTGATTTCTGCGCGTAATTTTCAATTTTCTTCAATAGAACTCAAGTTTTATGCAATAAAAATATAATATTTTGAATCAGGATCAAAAACTGACTCGACGGATGTGTATTTCGAAATTTTTAGTTGATTTTCATTTTTGGTAAAAATCTCGATAATTTTCCAACGTGAAATTGCGAGAAACACTAAAATAGTCTAATGCAAAATTTCAAAATTTCTCCGTCAAAATTTTTGTTTGAAAAGCTAAAATCTAGTTATTCTTGATCAGCTCGATGAACTGTATCGAATGATGTATAAATAAGACGAAGATAAAAAAATAGCACTTAACATTCGAATTACACGCATCTTAGCACCTTTTACACCCGATGAAAAACAAATTAGATCTTTAGTTAGTTTCCATCTGGAATACGTAGGGGTGTTAATTTAGTGTTACTTTTGAAAATAAATGTAAATGAATCATTCATACTTAAAAAATAAAGATAAATTTTTCATTTATATTTAAAAAATAAATATAAATAAATGAAAAAAAATTTATCTTTATTTTATAAAAGTAAATGATTAAAAATAAATAAATAAATATAAAGGAATCATTTACTTTTATAAAATAAAGATAAAATGTTTTCATTTATTTATATTTATTTTTTAAATATAAATAAAAAATTTATCTTTCTTTTTTAAGTATAAATGATTCATTTACATTTATTTTCCAAAGTAACACTAAATTAACACCCCTAGGAATACGACAGCTTGATATTTTGTACGCTTGTTCTTCTATCATATTTTAATCAATCATATTACAAGTAGTGCTTGAATGCTCAGTAGAAGAATATTTGAATATTATTCAGTATAATTACTTTTTTTCCTTTCCACCAAAAGAAACAAACTTATGATTAAGCTAGACATACAGCCTCCATTCGAATCATTGCTTACTATCTTTATTAATTATTAATTGACTTTCATCTTCTTCTTACGTATGATCTTTTTTTCTATAAAACTTAAATATAATTACATTAAAGAAATTGAAAGGCCTAACAATATGGCGAATCATTTAAAATTGCAAGTTTTGTGTAACTAGATGGAAATGGAACGGATTCGGAGAAGCGCCTGATACAAGAGTAACGTGCATCCAGTACTTTCGTGGTTTACACAAAAAAAACAAGAAGAAAACAAAGTGAAAAAATTGTGCTAGTTACGGGTTTACGTCCTGCTGCGCACTATGAGCTCTGGCAAATATATCATTATGCTTCCTCGTAACATTTCCACCATTGAACTCGAGTGTGCCAAACAGTTTTTCATATTCTTGAATATTAGAGACAAGATTGTTTTCCGATTCCACTGTGCTCTTACCGCTGCGGCTAATTGTTGTTACATCGTTCATCATTGAATGGATGTTATTCAGTCGGTCGCATTTATCACCAAGTTGATCGAAAACTTTGGCAACATCTGGATAGTTTTGCTCACGACATTGATCAGCATACTGTCTGGCTTTGTCACGCTGTATCTGCTCTTGTTTGAATGTTTCTTGGTTTAACTCGGGTCTATTCGATTGTATTCCACGATTTGCTTTATTTTTTGTGTCACGATTGTACACAACACCTCTGGATTCAACATTCTGATAGTCGCTATCATTTAAAATCTGACGTAGTTTGTGAAAATCCTTGTGGCTCAAAGCCGTCCGATTCAAGAAGGGTACCAAATTTTGCGGTTCCAATATGTGATCAGCGTCGCGTCCGCCAGATTCCGTGACGCCATCTCGGTAACACCTTGTTTTAAGATGCTTCGCTTGCAAATGACTCGTACCCGTGACGTTATCATACATAGATGATACGAGCCCTGAGTCGGCGATATTCATCTGTTTCAAGACTGATCTGAACACAGAATACTTAACTTCACCATTATTTCTTAGTCGATTATTTTCATCGAAAAGACCCGTCTTCATTGCTTCTTTACTGCTGGCTGACATTGGGTCAACAAGTGTACCGTCAGGTGTTAGTTCGAGTTGATACCCCTCTGGCCATCGAAACGATCGGTACATTTCCGATAACTGAGTAGGGGTGAAGCCTCTGCCTTGAAAAAGATGTTCATACGCTTGCCAGTCTATTCCCCACTGATGGTTTTCAGATTCTGCCGCTTTATCTGTGTTATTATTTTGTTCTGGTAACTGAGACTCGTCCTGCAGTGTAGATTTTTCCTGCTGATACATATCAGACATTTCTGACTTGGATAGACCTTCGCCCGCATGATCTTTCTCGAATTTATTCCACTCGTTCTCTGGTGATAACTTTTCGGCGCTTTGAGAAGGATCTTGCGTTGTAGAATTGCCAGCGCTGGTAGTGTGAGAAACGTCTTGCTTTGTCGAATTTTGCTTCTGATACAGTTCGGACATTTCAGATTGTGATAAACCTTCGTCGACATGTTCGTGCTCAAATTCATTCCATTTGTTCGATAGTGTTGGCTCTTCACCGCTTTGGACAGCACTTTGCGTTGTCGACGTTTCGGAACTTGCCGTTTCTGTTGACACAGGTTCAGATGACGGAGGCTGAGCATTGTCGGGTTGTGCTGATTTTTGCTGCTGATATATATCACACAGTTCTGACTTGGATAGACCTTCGTCCGCATGTTCATGTTGAAATGTATTCCAAGGATTTGTTGATGGCGTTGATACCTCTGCAGTATCACTGAGTGTTGCTTCAGCCATTCCGTTGCTTATACCAGAGATATCTGCTTCAGCTCCACTCATTCCACCACCAATATCCACTGTTGTTGCACTACTATCATCGTGGTACATTGTGGACATTTCTGTTTGAGATAAACCTTGACCAGCATGTTCATGTTGAAATGTGTTCCAAACATTTGCCATTGTGAGTATATATATATATATATTTATAAATGCTTTTTTGTTGAATTAATGTGTGTAAATTTCAGTATTGTAAGTATAATAATGAAAAGTGAACTATTAAAAGTTTTGTTGCTGCTTATATACAAAATTTTTTTGCATGTTTCAAGGATTTACCATTGAAGCATTTTGTATGAGAGAAAAGGTAAGAATTGCTCAATCTTTTTGCAATTTTTCATAGAATCTTCCATTAACTCTTATGTGTTGAGAGTTCAACAGAGAAAGAGAAAACTAATGGGTTTTTCCAAGGCCAGGTTATGTTTGATGGTATGATTCGAAGGAATTGCACAAGTCTGAAAATTTCACCACATACACGGTTGGAAATAATATTTTTCCAGGGGGGGCAGAGCTGAAACTACAGATGATATAAAAATGTGTTATATACCAAATTAATGCTCATCTAAAATGGAATTGATGTGTATGACTGAGATTCCGTATGACGATTATTGACTGTAGAACTATGGAAGTTTCTATCGAGTGCATCATAATGAATGAGCCTCTCAG